AGGTTTATTGGTATAAACATATGGAGATTCAACCTTTAAGGTAAAATATTCAACTTTTTATTCCAAAATAATTTTTGATTTTACTAAAAATTAAAATAATCAATGCGTATACTTATAGTATCCGTAATTGTATAAAATAAATTAATTTGTTTAATAAATTTCGTTTCTTATATTTTTGTTCTAAAAATGTTTTATTCGAGTGTGGGCATCAACTCTGCATCAGTAGATATCTACGAAAGACAAAACGTGCGTGTTTACTCTCGGCATAGGTTCTAATCAGAATCGTGTAAGCGCACGGCGAAATTCAGAATTTTGATGATTTTTTATAATTTAACGGCTTATTGTAGAGTCATAATCTTTTAGTATGTTCTTTCAGACTACAAAATCTATAGTTATCTGAAGTTTTATCAAAATTGTCAAAAAAATCAACATTAAATTACAAAAAACTCTACCAAAAGCTAATCAGCGCGACTCTCAAGTAATATCTATCGAAAAGTTTTTGGTATTTTTATAATCGATTCAAGATTGTGATCTAAAACGTGTACAAAAAATTTTACACTTTTCTGACAATTACAAAGAAATGGCATGACCGATCGTCGCACTGACAAACTTCTAGCTTGATAAGAATCGAGCTACATCGAATGGCTTTTGAATTTTTGAAATCGGTCCAGCCGTTTGAGAAAACGTTGACGAAATATCAAAAGCTCATATCACATACACTTACATGCTTTTTCCAAATTTGGTCTCATTCGATTCACAATGACTTTTATTTACTAAATTTTATACCTAGAAATCAATAAGATTCAAATATTTAATTAACTTCGGAAGAACTCAAAGTAAATATTTATTAGAAAACTTTTTCATTTATAGTAGGATTTAAAAAAACATTGATATTTCATTTAATTGATGCACTAATATGCAATTAAATGCTCTTGTACAATCTTAAAAATTACAAAAAAAACTATTAAAATATGCATTTTTTATATATTTTATTTTGTAAATTCGTAATTCAATTAGTTCGTAATTAATTTAATTTAATTCGTAAGAACACCATCTGCACATTTTTTTATTTTAAACAAAGTAAAACTATATTGCAAAAAAAAAATTGTCGCGAATTAGGATCGAAATAATGGAATCGAATAAAAGTAATGCATTATTTTAAAAAAGCAAAAGAAGTATAAAGTAGAAAAAACAACTCTAGATAATGACACGTCAAATACATACAATTTTAATGTACTTATAAATTGCATCAATATTCAAGTACTTTAAATTGCATCAATATGCATCGAATTTCGACCAATTGGCAAAGATGATAGTAATTCAACAAGTCTTAAAATAAACGTACTATTATAAATAAAACGAATTATTTATAAAATTCGTTTGATATTTTTCAATAGAAACATAATAAATGAGCTATTATAATAATACAAAAAGTGCATTAAATACTATCTTAAAGCTATTAATAACCAAATCAGTTTTCATATATAATCATACTATTTTCTTATAATTAACAAGTCATTGAATGTTAAATAACTTAATACTTTTTATTGTCTTCATTTCTTAAATTAAAATTCGATACTAAGTTGTCTTGTGCTCTTCATAATGAAGTATGTTTCTTATGTAATATAAAGCTCTTCAAAAAATTTTGCTAATGAATTTTTTAAGACAATCAATGCTTGGCAATATGAAATGAATGATGAAATATCATCATCTTCATCATTCTTTAAACAAATCAATTATGAATAAATATTTTATTTAACATAAATGAAGCATTTATATCAAAGGATCACTTTTCACTCACACTTATTATAAATATTTATAACTTGGAAGAAACCGCTTACAATGTAATTTCAGTTTTCAAAATTGTGCACACTCATTTAATATAATACATCTATAATTATATTATTTATCCATATTACCATTTTATATAAAATTCAGTACAAACATATAAAGCCTGTACATGATTGAGCATTAGTTACAAAATAGCGCTAAATATAATAATTGTATTATGAAGTAATATTTCTATATCAATATATTAAATAAATGTGGAGGGTTCTAACAGTCTATAAAAATGTATTGCACAAAATAAAATAAATATAATATAATAATGTATAATTTAAGTAACTTGCTAAAGTATTTCATAGCAAACCAGAATATTATCTTGCATGTTTGGATATGATTTTTATTTTATCAAAATTTAATAATTATTAAAATTTAACGTAATTTTGATTACAAATATGTAAATGAATTATAAAATCTTATTTTTATAATTTCATGTGAAAAAAAATCCCACAATTTTTTGGCATAGATAAATTTCTAAAAATGTATAAGAAAGTTGTTCTATTTGTTGAATATCTCATCATATTTATGTGCAATATAAATATAGGACCTATAAATATAAGCCATATATATATATATATATATATATATATATATATATATATATATATATATATATATATATATATGAGCCTTCAAATAAATAGTTGCCAGAACTAAGACTTTAATGATAATTTTTATGGTGTTTAAAACTAAAACATGGGTATAATTTGTTCCCAATTTTGAACATACATTTGTATTAGCTCTCTTCAATAAAAAAGCATATATGAAAAATATTCATACATATATATTTACAAAGCAACAAGTTAGTAGCTAGATATTATTTTACTAGATGCAAGGGAGATCTCGTCGATTGTTAATGCTAGGAGGAATGACATGATATGATAAATATGTATATGTTTACAAATTTGTATATACACAATTTTAGTTTGTTTTAAATGTTTTCGAAAATTAAATATAATTGTGTTAAAACAACATAAATATCAAAATAGGAATTATTTCAGTACTCATGGAAGAGTATAAGCTGCACTTCTCAAAAATATATTACTACTATTTATTTTCACTAATAAATATAATATTAAATTACATTTCAAAACAAACTACAATTTTTTTCATTATGTATCTGAAAATAATAAAAATGACAATTCATACTACTTGGACGGCATTTCAGGTGAATTTATCATCTCTAATGATACTGATAAATGGAATGTTTGTTTGATTTGTATTAGTTGCGTATTATTAATAAAATCATCTTATATAATAAAGATTCACCTAATTCATAACTAATATAAAGAACTTCTCAATAGTCAAAAATAATAAGTTAATAAAAAATGATCTTTGATTTAGCAATTCTCTAATTTATGTCTTCAATAAAGTCATAAACATATAAAAATAAAAAAATATACTCCAGGTATTGTTATGTCTTACTAATAATTAGAATACTTCTTATCATAACGTACTTCTATTGACAGTGCTGAGAGTTGCAGTCTTTTCATATGTAGCAAAAATGATAAAATTCATGCAGTATTATCAACTCCAGCTATTTGATGGACATCTGTGAGTAAATAATATGGAAACTTATTTTAATTATAATCATCAATTATTGCTTCAAAACTATAAGACAAATCCTTCGATAAAATTTGTAAAAAATTATATAAATTAATTTGATTGGAATATCATTGGAAAGTCAAGAAAGAATTTCTGTTTTGAATCCAATTAGATTAATAAATTTTGAAAATATATTGTTTAATTAAACTTAAGAGCACCTCCGTAATTAATTTTAATTGTACATAAAAACTGAGAAAAAAAATAAGAAAAAAACTTTCTCTTCCAATTATGAATTTTTTGTAAAGAATTCAGAGTTAAAGTAAAAAACATGTTTTAGCATTATATTATTTATGTAAGAGTTAGCAATATTTTGATTAATATTGTCTTTGTTGTAATTGTCCATAAATTGTAAAATTAAAAACCTAAAAATATTATTACCAAATTAGGTTGATAACATCAAGTCAAAACAAGCGACTGGTAAAGATCTCCCTTGACGTATCCTAGAATCTGTCTTTGGAGGCAGCTGTGCTCAAGTAATCTGGGTCATTTAAACAATGCAATTCCTGGAGTTCTTGAAACTTTTCATGATCTCGAATATGTGCATAGTTAGCAGACAAGCACATTAAATAATGTATCTATTAGAAAAGTAAGAAAATTATAGTTATTTGATATTTTACGATTAATTAACTTATGTATATTTTTTTATATATATTATAATAATTTCATGTTATTAACATTGTTTCTCAACTTACCAGGCTTAAAATAACAAGCATACAAGCTGCTGTCGCTAATATAAACATCATTTCTGCCTTCTCTACAGAATCTTTGCAAAATAATTTAATTTCAGTTGGACCACATACTTTCATATCCTCTACCCTAGTTCCATTCGGGAACATAAAATCTAAACAGGTAATTATAGTTAATAAAATATTCATTTCTTATTAGTGGAACCAAATTTGATATGACTTACCAAACTGTGTTAAATCAATGCATTCTCTTATTTGTGTTGAATAATTATAACACATATGCCAGAACATAGTGAAGATAAAGGTGACTATAACTAGGAAACCAAACATAAGTATCCAAGCTAATTGTAATATATAGGTTACTCCCATAAACTGCAATCAAATTTAAATTACTAAAGTGCATAGAAAAAGAAAATCGATCAATTTTAATTACAATAAAATATTTGAATCTCTCACAATAAAGTAATTTGATAAATCTGGTATGTACGTTACAAGACTTAATCATTTAATGGCATTTTTTTAAATAGTATTTTGAATATTTTTATGATGTTAAACTATAATTATTAATATATAATGTAATATATGAAATCATTAAATAATCTTACCACAGCACAAGATATCCTGCCACCAACTCTTGAGCCCCATGCTCTGTAAACTTTGTGCCTTGTAGCACCCGTTGCCAAAAATCCAACAAATAATATAATAAAACCTAAAGCTGCCATAGAAGCACCTAATACTACGAATACCATCTGTACTGCTTCCAGCCTAAAAAATGTAAGTAAACTTATTTAAAATTTAGAAAGGAAATACCACATTTGTAATATAGAGACATATTTTCAGATACTAATGGCAATTCAGCTATTAATAGTGACATTTTACAAACCACATAAGTCTTTGATGAAATACTTGATCAGCCATTAATACTGCTAAAGTCGCCCCACGATACATTGTGCCACAAAAGACTCCCACACCTAAAAGGCACATTACTGTGGCTATCAGAGTAGCATATGGGATTCTGGTAAGACATGCTTGGCAACAGGAACCTGTAAAATTTGCAAAAATAAGCAAAAAGTTTTTTCAAGCAATAACACGATATAAATATATTAAGTTTAAGAGGAATCATTTGTTACTATGAGCATTTAAGTCGATAAGTTCTGTGCAGTGTATAACGAACTATTTTTTACATATATATCTAGTTAACATACCAGGATTTTTCCTGCCTCCTAACTGACCTCTCCTTAGAGAGCCGTCTGAATATCTATCCAAGGAAAGATCACTATTTCTTAATCTATACACTTTATTTTCACGAGTCCGGGGTGAGCCTGACTCATCATCAAAATTTGTTTCTAATAAAATTTCTTCTTGTACAGTCAATGGACTACGTCGTCTAGATTCCATATTAATTAATGAAAAAACTTATAGAGCAATAATTTTTAATAGAAAAAATATTTTGAAACATTTGTCTATGCAATATCCAAGGTAGTAATTAGACAAATCCAAATTAGACTTTCATTTAGCTTTTATTGGTGACTCATTTTAGTTGATTGCACTTAATTGAACTAATTGTGATTGTCAACACAATTGGTATAAACTGGTATAAACTTTCTAAATGAAAATAAGGAACATTCTATATAAAAAATTTCTCTGAATACTTAAAATAATAATCATCTTTTATTTATATAACCGATTCAAATTTCTTGACATTTCTAATAAATTAAAATTATCATTCACAAATTTCACACGAAAACAAACATGGGAACACTATAACGGAATCTAATGTGAATATCGACGTCTCTCTCTTGCTTCAAAATCTCAGTGACGTTAGAAAGAGAAGGCGTAAATCACCACACCTGTTTTTCAATCCAGGTAGATATTTATAATGATTTATAATCGAATCTTATCTTATCACTTACCCATTATGAATAAAGAGCGCTAAAGTTTGAATATTTATACTCGAATTAAACGTCAAAAATACTTTTTAACACAAATTTGACACATAAGCAAAACATCAAATGAGACGCATAAAAAACACATTAAATTTTCATTTTTACAATTCACAATATAAATATTGTATATTTGATTGATATTTTATATAATTTTAATTTGAAACTCGCTTTTTTCGTTTTGTTTACTATACTTTTGCTTTCACTAGGGCGCAACTATTGGAAAGGTCAGCAAGTTTCATTTACCTACGTTAGGAGTTGCACGATGTGATCTTTTGAAACTTGTCTTTTCATAAATATAAGTTTACAAGTATTACTGTCCATTTACTGTCTTTTCTGTTAAAGTGCAAAAAACATTACATGTCCATATATTTTAAAAGACAAAGTACACATACTTTTCATGTACTTTAATATATAAACTTTTACATTCGGAGTTAACTATAAAATTATCCTTTCTTTTTATCAAATATACATCAAGTATACATTATTTTTGATATACTACAATTTTGATTGATAAGAATTTGCTTAACTATAAATATTTAAATTAGGACTCTTAGGAGCATTTAATTCTGTAATTTATTGTTATTTGTGTCTTTTATGTAACATATAAATATAAATTTTAGTGTTCCATATGGAACTACATGCACTACATGCATAGATAAAAGAAGAGTATGAGTGTGTAATGATTTTGATAAATTATTATACGAATGAAATTCAGCTACATATAATAATTAATTTTATAAATTCATGAGAAACTATATTCAAGAAAACTTCCATGTTTTCCAATGCTACTGAAATTACACGTTAAATACAATTTTGCGACTTTCTGTCGCGTGGTCGGTGAATCGTTTATATACGTCACATCTGGCAATACAATCGTTTATATACATCACATCTGGCAATACTATATCATATGACAATGTTGTTTATGAGCTGCTTTGACAGAAAGCAATTTACACATTATAATTTATATATGTATATATAATTTTAATATGTTGAAGCAATGGAGTTATGGCAATTAACTTGATGACAAATGATACTTATTCTCTTCCTCCACAAGTAATAGGAAATGTGAGAGGTGTATTAATTTTTAAAATAAGTGAAATCGTTTTGTTCAGGGCACCGACTGCTGTTTTGGTGCAATTGCAATGGTGGGGTGAAAGTAATAAAAATATTCAAAATTTAGGGTACAAATCGTTTTGAAGATAAAATTTATTGTAAAGACATTTAATAATTTTTCTTTTTGTTTCAGACCTATTAAAGTACATAAACAAGAAAGTAAAAAACCTATATGCCCTATAAATTTCGTATACAATATATGCACAAGCTTAAATTTGTTTTATTCGTACCTAGCCCAATGTGAATTGGTAAAGGTTGAACTCGTCACAGCTATATCAAATTTGAAATTAGGAAGTGCCCAAGTACAAATACCTCATGATTTATGTCAAACCAAACTAGCACAAAATCAAGCCGCAAGTGTTTGCAATATAACAAATGATGATGGAATCATAGTTGGAGAGTTACACATTAATTTTCAAATTAATTTCAAAGATGACATTACACCCCCAAATTCCAGTAGAATAACTGAATATGAACCCATAACCTCTAGAAGATCTAAATTACAAGAATTTCCTACAATCAATAATGATACAAGGCATATAGAAAAATGTTCAGGTTTGCCCAAAAAATACAGCAAAAGATCTAATGATGATGACATAGCTTCAAATAATTCAATAGACATAGCAATCTCTAGTCGAGAAAATGTATTAAAGTTTTTGCATGGAGAAGATATGAGTGTTGATTTACAAAAACAAGCATTGAAAGATATAAGAAATTTATCACCAGCAAGTAGCTTGATTGCATTGGCTGATGCTGAGCATTGTTTAACTAAGAATAGTTCATGGACTCAATGCCCAACAAATATTAGTTCTAAACTTGACAGTATTTCATATAACACACAAAAGGACAGCAGTATTTCAAAATATATTGAAGAAATTTCTAAAATAACTAAACTTCGAAAACAAAATGCAATGGAGTCAAACACAATTCCTAAATTGGATAAAATTATTCCTGAGGCTAATATTATGAAACCTAAAATTGCAGTTGTTGATAGATTAATTAATCATGTTGATAGTGTGCGAGTAACAGTTCAAACTTTGACTTTAACGAGAGCAGGCTTACGCATTGTTCTTGGTTTAGAAAATTTGCCGCTGGTAACTATATCTTCTCAAGTAACATTTTTTGTGGAATATGCTATGCCTTCTCTGGGAAAGCAGCAGGATAATGCATCAAATATTAGTCGCATAAGAATCTGTGCAAAAAGTAAAGATGGTCAAGGTAATGAAATTCAAGTGATAATACTTAATATATTGATTGAAAAATTGTAAATGTTCATATTTATTGTTTAAACAAAAAATCATGCTTTAATATCAATTACTACATTAAGTAAGGTGGCCATATTTTCCGGATTGGCCGGGACAGTCCTGATTGTCTCGGTTTTAGGTGTTTTGTGACCCGGATTGTCCTGGATTTTAATAAATAGTTTGATTGCTTTTATTTTTTAAATATATTTTAACTAGAAAATTTGAACCGAAAATATGTCCATATGAGTTATTAGCTCACCAAACAACCCCCCCCCCCCCCCCCGCGCTCTCACACACGGCCTGGATTTCATGCAAAAAAAATGGTACATTAAGCTTTATCTGGCGGTGCTTACCACCACCACCGAAAACTTACATCAGTTATAGTTTTGTCATATGAGAAAAAGACTTTGTAGTTCAAAATTATTTTTTTTATAATTATTCTTTACTTGTTAATTGGTTTTATTTGAAGCTCAGAAAAATTATAAAACATATCATTTTTCTCAACTCTTATTTTTAAACATTTGGTTTAAACTTTTTGTTGTAAATAAGTAAATACTAATTTTTATTCACAATTTTAACAGTTATTTCCTATATTCAAATAAGCACAAAAATTGACATCTTTGACTAATAAGTTTTTGTGAATAACATTTTATGTGAGGCGCCGCCAGATCAATTGCTAAAACTGCTCTTTAAATGTTTTAATGATTAGACAACCTTTAGCTGTCTAACTTCCAACAGTAATGAAGAGTTTAAACTTCATTTAATAAATCATTATTTATTAAATTATTATTCATTTAAATCATCATTTATTAAATGATGAACAATATTTAAATTATTTTATTTAACATAACATTCATAAAATAAATAAATATAATCATCAATAATATTTACATTATTGACATTTTTATTTTAGATGTTCCATTCAATCGGCAATCTGTCCATAAAGTACCTCTGTCTGCAATAATGTCTAATGTCCCTAATCCAGCAATAGTGTTTAATGTTTATTATCGTAAAGTATCACAAAGACAGGCCAAACATCTTGGACAATGCCGAATTACTCTCAACGAAATTGTATCCTCGCCTAAATTACACAGCACTAGAAAGTGTCCAATAATTACAAGTCAAAATGAAAAACTTGATAAGGATGTGAATATAAAAAGCAGTGGTAGCAGCCATAAGTTGCCAGAGAAAACTGATAGTGAAAATGTCTTTTCTGATGTAATTGGATTTGGAGGTATTTTGGCTGGACATTTAACTGTTAAAGTTGAACTGGGGTCTGGATTATTACATTTTGGAAAACACTTTTTAGGTACTTATACTGCATTTACCATTGCCCTTAATTATTACGTATTCATGTGATTCACAAATCTTGTCATCTCTGTTGCTAGAACTATGTTCAAAGTTGTTTATTAAAACTTATAGTTACTTATGTTTAATGATTGTTATTTATAAAAAGTATAACCTACATGTACCATATCATTGTTACCTAATGACTCTTTTAACCAAGATTGAAGATTTTTTCACATATGCATTGCAATATTATATTATTATAGAATCATTTGCTGCAAATCAAGAAAACATAAGCATTCCGAGTACATTAACAAACAGTGAATGTAATGAAGAAGAGATAGCATCAACAACATTCAATGGTCAATTTCTAGACAATCAAAACCGTACTTTGGACTGTATTAACCATCGTAATTGTGCAATGTTCAAGCAACAACAAGCCCTGCCTCAAGAACGTTGCACAGTTTGTCGAGATTTTTATACTAATAAACCTTTCCTGCAAAAAACGCAACAGCAAGTATATGATGCACATATTATGAAGCCCATTAGAAAATATAATGAAAATAAAGTTACTTACCAAGAACTGAAAAGGCCAACTATTAAGAAAACTATTGTTAAACAATCACAAAATACTAAAGTTGCAGGATGTTATTTAGATCAAACAATATTGAAGGAGCAACAGAAGGTATTTATTTATATTTAATTTTTTTAGGTTTATCTATGAGGTTAACTTTTATAATTATATTTTTTGCTAATAAATAGTTCTTTAAAATTATGCTTTGATTATTATTTTAATATTTGTAATTTTTTCAGGGAAATGAGATTTTAACAGATTCTGATGATGGAAAATTTGTAAATACAGACTTAAGAGGCGGGAGGACATTGTTGTGAAAAAGATCAAAATGAGAAGAAGAATATTTTTAACTAGAAAGTCTTTTATTAAAGATCTTCTTATTTTAGAAAAGATCGAGGAAAAGTTGCCGATGCTGATGTGGAATCAAGGAATGAAGAAGATGTGAGATTTAATATCCTTATTGTAATCAATGTGGATTTATCCTATTCAATTTGATTTATGTATTTATATATATATATATATATATATATATATATATATATATTAGGGTGGTCCTTAAAATGGTCATTTTCGAATTTCCTTGCTCCCAGGGGCTCAAATGGTTCCAAATTGATAAAAAACAATTCTCTGAAAGTTTTAGCTCTTAATATTAACGTTTAGATAGAGCGCAATTCAATCAAAGTTCGTATGGAAAGAGCATGAAAAAATTTTCGAAATTAAAAAAAAATGTTTTAGGTATAACTTAGCGACAAATGAATGAGTTTTATTTATTCATTTGTTCGCTAAGTTACATCTAAAAACATTTTTAAAATTTTTGAAAAATTTTTCATGCTATTTCCACACAAAACTTTGATTGAATTGCGCTCTATCTAAAAGTTAATATTAAGAGCTAAAACTTTCAGAGAATTGTTTTTTATCTATTTGGAACCATTTGAGCCCCTGGGAGCAGGGAAATTCGGAAATGACCATTTTAAGGACCACCCTAATATATACAGTAAAAACACATTTATCTGGCACTCAGTTATACGAATTTGCGATTTTCTGGACTATCAATCTCGATTGATATATATGTACATACCAGCAAGTCGATTTTATTTTATATAAACCATTAAACTTATTACCTACTTATTTCATGATTACCAAATGCAAATTACCTAATGCATTTTGTAAACAAATTATTCATACATACGTACCAATACAACTATTTTATTTCATGATTAATGCTTAGTTTAATTGGAAGAAAATATGTATGTACGTACGTAAGTGTTGATTTCTTAATAAACATTGATTTTTGTTAATATCTATCTATGTATTTGTTATTTTTAGTAAACACATAACAAAATTCTTCATACATTTGGTTATCCTGATTTTTTATTACCTGAATGCCTATTGAATTAGTCCGGTTAATCTATTTTCTACTGTATATATAGATATGTTTCTATTAGAGCAATATAAAAAGGTTAAATTAAATAATGCATCTATTTTGTTTTTTTTTAGTCTACATTACTACATGGTTTGCTGTTTGTCAATGAAGCACGAGGTTTAGAACCTCAATTATTACCACAATCTTATTGTCTTGTAAATCGTGGCCTGTGTCCTGGAACTGGTGGTTCAAGTAAAAACATAATGTGTGATGGAAAATATTTTCAATATTTAGAGGTAAAACTGCGTTTATAGCTTCATTTATATTGCTTTTTATGTTTCTTTTTTTCTCAATTTTTTCTTATAATATTTTGGAATACTTTTTTTTGTAGACTTTTCCATTACTTTGTAATAAAGCATTAATGGAAAGATGTCACAGTGGACATCTGATTATAGAAATTTGGTTGAAAGGACCAGGCCCCGCACAAAAATTGGTGGGAGTAGCTAGCCTGCCTTTACATGCATTCTTTGTGGCGTACCATGATGCTAATATGGTACGATATTTGGAGAAAGTCAAGGTACTATTTTAGATGCTTTTTATTATTAATTGTTATTACATAGACTTTGTTATTTATGAAAGAAAAGTTATTTTTTAACCCAAAAGAGCAGATGTTTTTAATTGAAGGAGTATTTTTGTGATTATGATATTTGCCTCTTTTATTTTACGAGTGCTTGCATAACCTTAAAAATGCAAAAGATCTTTTAAAGATAGTTATTATTCATTCTGTTTTCAATAGATTGCGTTGATCAGTTGGGCTGTAGTTGCATAGTTGACAAATAAAAATTTAATTTTTCGATTTGGAAAAGATTATAGACTCAGTGTAACTTTATATTATTGTTTTTCAGTTACCTGTTATTTCTGTGGATGGATGGATACCCCTACTATCACCAATATCTGGTACGGTTTCTGGAGAAATTCAAGCTTTATTAGCCATTGGTACAGAAAAGCAACTAGAAGAATTAAGAACGTCTAGAAATTTAAAACCAGATATTGTTCAAATGTTAGATGATCCTCTAAATTCGCCTCATCAAAAGCATCATTCGAAATCTAACAAAAAATCTTCTAAGCATGAGAAGAAACATTCTAAAGTTTTAAGTTGCACTATAGGTAATTGATTCTACAGATTCTTCAATGCTTATTCTTTTTTTAATAAATTGCATTTTTTTACTGTATAAAATTTCAGTTAAATTTATTAAGAAAACAGAATTACTCTCAATTGAAATCAAATATATGAATTTTTTAATGTATATTATTAGTGGAAATAAGTTTGGTACAATATCTTTTGGTTTAGGAAAATGAATATTTATATAGCCCATACATATTATAAGATTCACACATTTAAATTTGTTTTTGCTATCTTAATTTTCATTTTTCAATTATCAAATAAATCTACAAATTAAATTTATATGTAAAATTCATAATATATAATAGTTATTTACATTACTGTCAAAATCAACTAAATGATTTAGATCATACTTTTAGTTTTCTTAGACTTTTGTCAATAATAGTTAGTGGTATTCGAGCCTTCAATTTTTATAGTACATAGCATCAAAGCTTTAATTTAATTGTTATATAATTTTATACTATCATTATTTAATATATTTGACTTTCATCTTCGCAGGTGTAAACACGTCACCTATAGTAGTTAGGCAGTTTGCTACTAGTATATCTGACATTAACTCCGAGTTTCCTCAATCATCATCTACAAATGAGGAAGTAAATCAAAAAAATTATAATACAGTATATACCCAAACAACAACTGATGCTAATATGCCAACTGTTCTAGAGGAATCAGTGAGTAAATTTCTTTTTTGTTACTAAAAATAAAATTGAATAACAGATATTTTTATGATACCCATTAAAAATAAAATAATTGAATGGCTTTATTGACTGCTTAAAGTTTGTTACCATTTCTCAAAATGAGCAGAGAAGGATCTGTAATAATTACTTATTTTGCATTTTATCAAAATATTTGTTTTTGAAACAACTATTTTTGTTTAGCCGTTTTGCAACTTCATGTAAGTCAAAATTGTGATCGTTTTTTAACTTCCCGAAGGATAAGTTTATGTTTTCATCAAAAAATCCGATTCGCTAATTTTATTTTTTGTTGTTTCAAGCCATTCTAAATCAAATGAGATTAAATTTGGGAAAAGTATGTGTGTGTGTATGTGAACAGATTTTTTGCCGTAAATGGACGATTTCTCAAAAACGGCTGGATCGATTTCAAATTTTAAAAGCCATTTGATGTATCTCGATGAGGACAAGGTTTTATTAATTTTGTCGCGAGGATCAGCCAAGCTGTTCCTTTGTAAATAGCAGAAAAGTGAAAAAAATTTCGTCCACGTTTTAGCCCGCAATTTTGAATCGATTTGAAAATTCAAAAACCGTTCGGAAGATATTGGTTGGGATGTTGGAAATCGTCATGATTAGTTTTTCGTAAAGATCGGCCGTGCCGTTTTCTTGTAATAAAGAATTAAAAAAAATTGTCGACGATTTTTATGATTTTTTTGTTTTTGACGATAATACCATTGTCTTATAGAATTTTAAAAATTCGTCAAAGTTTGCAAAAAATAGTATCGTTTTTTTGGCGTTTGTCAAAATTAGAACTTTCATCGACGTTTGCTTAAAAACGCCTGAACCAAAAATTTAAAAGTTATTCGATGTATTTCGATGTGGATTATATTTTATCAGTTTTGTGCGACGATCGGCTGAGCCGTTTCTTTGTAAATAGCAGAAACGTGAAAAAAATTTCGTTCCCGTTTTAGCTCTCAATTCTGAATCGATTTTAAAAAATCAACAACTGTTCGAAAGATATTGATTGGGAATGATACTGATTAGTTTTAGCTAAAAATCTACCGGGATATTTTCTTGAAATTTACTGTTGAAAAAAAAATTGCCGATTTTTATGAAATCTTTTTTGGCAATAAATATTTGACAATAGATATCATGGTCTTATAAAATATACTAAAATGTTACGGCCCTACGACAAATAGTTTTTGAAATTTCATCAAAGTTTGAGAAATATTATAGTATTAAAGTTACTTTCGTGATGCGATGAGTCAAACATTATCAATTCATTAAAATTTAAAATACCTTTAAGATACAATTTTAGAGCGTACAATGTATCGTGTCTGTGCAATATAATTAATATTTTAATTACATTATTAATATTACACACTAATTACAAATATTAATATTTACAGTTAATTTTAATGTGTTTGAAAATTCTATTCGAAATCGCAATGTTTAGATTTAATTGAAAGCGATAACTTTTGCTTAATATATGCACACAGTATTTTCTAAATGCGCGGTCGATTATTCAATATTTTAATTCATTTTCATATTTAACCCTTTCCACTCGCGAATTCCGAGATTTATATGAATTTTGCCGCCGGAGTGACGGCATCCGAGTCGAAAGGGTTAAATCACTTTTTGTAGGACTATAATATTTTAGTAAGTTAGTTTCATCAAAATCGTCGAAAAAAAAATTTAACGGCCATATTAAAAAAGGCTTGACCTGATTTTCAAGTGATATCTTTCGAATAATTCTTGAATTTTCAAAATTGATTCGGGTTTTCCGTAAACTCTAGAGAACTAAAACAAGTACATAGCAAACGGCTTTTCAACTTTTGAGTTTGATTAACCGTTTCTGAGAATCATCAAAAAAGTTTAATAAAAATCGTTAAAAAACATCGGCTCACATGCACACACATTTTTGTAAATAAGACATTAAAGTCTTGATTAACAAAAATAAATTGTAACAAAAAAAAAAAAAACATGCACTCACATACACTTACTTTTTCTAAATTTGAGCTCATTTGATTCAGAATGACATGAAACGTTTCCTTCGGGAAATTAAAAATTTTGCTAACAATAAAATTTTTATTGAGTTCATTATATTATTAATGTTGCTATGATGATTTGTACTTATCAGTTACATTTTTTAGGAATCTATAACTGACACCAAAAGTTCTAATGCTATACCATTGAGGAAGCCTAATTCCTTTGCAATCTATCAACTTTTGTTTCACAACTAATGCAAAATATACCGCAAAACTCTTCATTTTTGACTAATTTTGAAATGGGCCTATGTTCTGAAAAATCTTCTGCTGAAAGTGCTCCAAGGTTGAAACAGACTTCAGATCTTTTAGCAGAATTGCAAAGAGCTTTAGAGCATGTACCTCAGGCTTTTGCTGCTGGTTCAGATGACGGAATGAATCAAAGATCAAGTGATAATAATGTAACTGAAAATCATGCTGATGGTCTTGTTGAAAATGAATTAAATGAAGTATATGAAGTTGATGAAACAAGAAGTAGTGAATCTATTGAGTGTTTTAAGGCATCGATAGAAGTGGAACAGCTTTGCGTTTGGCTGTGGTTAGTTCATTTTCACATAATTCTAAAAAAATTTGGTATGATAAATTTGAAAACAAAATTAGATATATGGAATCTTTGAAAATGCTTTATTCCATTACATTTTCAATCAAACGATTTAATATTTTTCAATTCTGTCATAATTTTTACTCTAAATATATTCATAATTTTATTCATAGTTCATAGTTTAGAGTCATCAAAACTTTTATTACTCTAAATATATTCATTTCTATATTTAAAAAAGTAATAATCTTTATCCGAATTCAACTATGCTTACTCCAGATTACTTCAACCACCAAAAAGTGTCATAAGCGAAGCAAGTGCAAAACTAAAGTGAAAACTACTGAAATTGCACCCAGTACGTATGTAACGTTTCCTGCCATAGTTTGTAGAAGTTGCTCTATGGTGCAAGCACCAGAAGGACCAGTGGTAGCAACTAATGTAGTTCCCAATACATGTAATCCAACTTGGAAGCAGAAGTTTGATGTTGCCTTACCTGTGGATCTACTTAAAACGGTATGTGTTTAGTAATAGTCTTTTAACTTTCCATAGGGTAGTTATAGCAATGAGCCCAAAATCGAAAATAAAATTTTTTGCATTTCTCGACGTTTTGAAGGTTTCTGAACATTTGGGCATACCTCAGAAAAATGGATGTGTGTGTTCGTGTGTCCGCATTTTTTCGTTCACGTTTTTGGGCGCCTGGATCAACCGATTTGAGTAGTTCAAAAATTCCTATTGACAGGGAGATGTGCTGATTAGTTTTTGGCAAAAGCAGGTCCAGCAGTTACGGAGATAAAGAACAGAGTGTAGAAAATAGAAATAGTTTTTGAGAGAACGGAGTATCCGATTTGAATGATCTAAAAAACATCAATTTGTAATGATTGGGAGAAGAGGTGATTAGTTTTTAGCAAAGGCGGGTCCAGCCATTTCGAAGATACAGCGCTAAATGTGCAAAAGTGGCAGTTTTTGAGAGAACTAAGCGTCCGATTTGAATTATTCAAAGAAGTTTCTGGTTGTTTCAACAAAATAATTGCTTTTGAAAAAAAAATTGTTTGTATTTTTTTTTTCATAAAAAAATTTTTTTTCATGATTTTTTTTTTGTATATTGAAAATAATTCAGATTTTAATTTCAATTCTGTTTTAATATACTTCAAACGAATAATTTTAACTTTGCAATTCATTTTATATAATTCTTATAAATATTAGACTATGTTACAATATTTATAAAAAATCTATTGGAAAACATTTAATATTCTTCGATCATTTCGTTACGGTACGGGAAGTTCCTGCAATTTGCCTTAAAGCATGATGCCATACACCACTAGTTAGTAATAGTTTTAGTGTAATATATATATTAAATATTTCTAGGCTAGGAATGTAGGCAAGAAAAATATGCTAAATAAAAGCACTTTATTGGTAACGGTTATGTCGCGGTTCTTCTGTAACATCTAATTGTTTTGTTTTGCTTAATTTTATGGTTTCTTATTATATGTATATGTATAATATATATATATATATATATATATACAGGGCCGGTCCTGGGGTCCTCAGCGCCCGCATGCAAGATTAGTTCTAGCGTCCCCCCCCCTCAATAATTTCAACTGTTTTATCAATTTTTCATTAAAATTATATAATTTTAAATTTTAATTAATTTAAAAAAAAAATTTAAATTAATTTTCAATCATTCTGGATTTTTGTACACATACTTTAGTACACAAAATTTTAGATATAATCTAAAAGTATATAAAACACATTGATTTTAAGTTTATTGTGTAATATTAATATTTGGGTTTTGAAACTTATTTATTATGCGATTTATTTTATAAAGCAAATCACGCCAAAAGAGCAAAAAGAAATAGTCTTTAATTTTTAAACATAACATTCGTATTTTATGTTTTGAATTAAATTTTATTTAATTTATTTTTTCATTATTTACAATATCCAGAATTGCATCGTTAACTTCTCCTTATTGGTATCCTTAGGGCCGAATTGTATTCAGCTTTACTTTCCCATCAATTCAAAGTATCAGATTGTTGTTTTAAGTTGAACTTTTAACGTATTTTTAAGTATTGTCCAAAGATTAGTAAAAGATGCACTGTACTGCAACAAATAAATTATATTTGTAGCTGTATTATTTCTGCATAGTTAATAATGAAATTGTGTATAAAAAAAGCTAAAGATTTTTGTTCCTAAGTACAATTTTCTTCCATTTTTCATATTTGCTCCATAAACCTAACCACGCATGTCTTCAACGTTCAAAGTTCATCAGATGTGAAACATTTACAACAAAAACAAAATTTATATATTTCTTTAATAAGTTCAAGTTCCATTTCAACTAAATCAGATCGCCATTTTTCACCAATAACGCTCAATAATTAATTTAACACTAAATATTTGATTGAACACTAAATATTTTCTTTTTCGATTCAACGTTAACTTCAAACGAAGAAAAAAGTTTAACAGTACATGACAATAAGCAGAACAATAATTTACAAATTTGCAGAGTTATTTGGTTATTGTTTCTATTGATATCACATTGCAAACTGAATATGCTTTTTCTGACCTCTATGTTAAGTTTATTATTATATTAATATTTAAAAAAAATATAAATATATATTATAATTTTATTTCTGAATCTCGTTTTGGCGCCCCCTAAGGCGTGCGCCCGCATTTTTTGCATGCATTGCATTCAAGGCAGGACCGGCCCTGTATATATATATATATATATATATATATATATATATATATATATATATACAATGCTGAATTCTCTTTTATTCTCTCTTATCATATTATGTAAACTAAAGACTTCCAATGGAAGGTCTATCGTTGCCTTATCTCATAAAACACAAGCAATACTATTGCTGAGCGACACGGCGCGTTCTATTTAAACTATTCGGTATTTGGCCGAATAACTAAAAGGTGCCGAACTTCATATCCAATATTTCTTAAGCAAATATTTTTTTCCAAAATGAAAAATTCTAATAGTTAATTAAACTCAAGCATTTATCCAGCCTTTTATAATAAAATTTTGGATCTAAGTTTAGATGTTTGTTCCAGGATCCAAAGCAGTTGTGTTCAAAGTTTGGCGTAAAAGAGGATCAAACACAAATATCGATTTAAATGCAGTGCCAGTATCAGATGTAGTTATTGGTTTTGCAGTTGTTGATTTGTCCACTTTGCTTTCTGGTCTTCCATCTATTTGTGGCTGGTTCAATATCACCGACGTCGGAAACCGATGCAATGCCAAATAAAGGTATTTGTTATTATATAATTTTTCTGAATATTCTAACTGGAGTAACCTCTAACTGAAAATTTTATTATATTGAAATTTATAATTTGAGTTTTAAATTGCATTAAGTATTTTAGTAATAAGTTGAAACAACCATTGTTCTATAAATTACATAAATATTTTTATTTTACAGATAAGCATCACCCCATTAGAAAATCTTGATAAATTCATCAATGATTCATCATTTTGTTGTAGTGATAATGATACTATTCATAGTTTCAATTCCTCTAATGATGACAAGGTAACATTAGTTAGACTAACAAAATCCAAAGAGAAAATGATGGAATGCTAGAAACAGCAAAATCTAAATTATATGGATTTGATCAATCTGAGTGCATGGATATAAATGAAACAAGCGCACATGAGGTTGAAGTAGATCATAATATTAATATTGGACAAGTGGCTACTAACAACGCAGATGTGAATTCGAATATGGGAAGTGGATCGCCCAGTTTTAGATTATCAAGTATCCTTGTGACAACGAATATCAGCAAAATCAACAAAATGTAACGCCCAATATATATTCTAATTTTTATCATAATACTATAAATGAGCATTATTCATACCAAACTGTTCCAAGGCCAGAAGACGCTGTTTCGTCTATGAACCAATCAATAATAACAGATATACTAAATCATAATCCTAACCAAGGGAAAATAGATGATGATACTTTAAATACTACTTCTTTAAGCCGAGTTTTAAAGAGAAAGTTTACAGAATTACATGAGATTACTCAAAGACTTCGGTCCCGATTGTTAGATGTAACAAAAGATGATGATGATGAATTTGAAAGGGATCTTAATACCGTTAGCGATGAAAAAGAATATGGTATTAGGCCTGAAGATTTCGAATCCTTAGCTAAAGTAGTACCAGATACACCTCATGAAAATGAAATGCCGAGGATGAAAACAATTTGAGAATTTAGCGAACAACTACCAAATTTATTAGCAGTAAAACAAAGTTATGTTCAGAAAAGTGTAGATGAGGTAGATGTGGATGCTATCCAGAAAGAATTAGCTGCAAATAGAGACATATTGTCACAAAGAAAGTGCAACATAAATTCTTTGTTGCAAAAATTGACTTTACTTACAAATCCTCTTGATAATCCACCACCTGAGAAGCATGTGAAATTTAATAGTGATGTTGAAGTACTTCATAATGAATCCAGCAATATATTTGAACTTATACCTGATCAGAATTTAATGCCGAATCTCAATCTATGCAACATAGTCCTGAAGATGATAGTTCTATAGAATCTGAAAGCACAAGCAATCTGGGTCCTATCAGTGTAAATCTCAGACGAATTGGAAACTGTTGATCAATTTGAAGAAAATTAAATCATTCAGGAAAATTTCACAGCAGTTCCCAATA